CAAACGGCCAGCCTAACGTAGTTCTGGTGTTCAATAGATTGAGCTCCACACAGCCGCTGGTGTCACGATGTGATCAGCATGCTATTGGAGCGGTAATTAGAGACAAGTAGCCGTTAATGGCTTGTCTATGGTCATTTCATGGCAGATGGTACTAAGATTTGAACACCACAATTACTCAGTCATGACGACGGACATCCATGGAAAGGGATGGATAAAAAGAAATGCAGTTTTTATTTGAATGTCTTTTATGGGTGGTCACTATGCCGATAGTTTTGGTACAGGTCGAATTATATGGAAATAATGCATACACTTTTAGCCTCAATTGGCGGCAGCAGTGCAGCGAGAGGAACCGATGGAATAATGACGTAACGAGATACTGCAAGCAGACAAAAGTTTTTGAAAATACGTTTAAATGTAATAAAGGCGGTTCTTGCTCGAGTATTTTCATGTTCATTCAGAAAAAATGCCGCGACAAACAACTTTCATCGAAAAAAAGGTGCATTAAGACGCTTAAAAAAACGATATTTCCATCTGGAACATTTTAAACATTAATCACGCATAACAAAGTCATTTTCATCTGCAAAACACGTGAAAATATTGGAGAAAAAAACGTTTACACGTTTTCCAGATGTGAAAGTTGCCTCATTTAAGCGTCCTCAAGAGCTTTTAAGGATGAAACTAGGTGACTTTGGTATTTTGTGAATGAGCATAAACAAGCTCAAATAGGAATCTCGTTTTCAGAAACTTTTATCTCTTTGAGATGTATCGTTATTTTGTGAACTAGTCACTTCGTTACCTTTGATTCAATGAGCTGGCAAAAGTCTATAAAGATTACGAATCCAGAGCCACAAGCTAAGGGTAAGCTGATAGATGACCATTTGAGGATGATGCAAAATAGTGTAGCGCTAAATTATGCCTCACTGTATCGGTAATCTGTAAGTTACCGTCTTCTCTCCGATGACGGCACGACTTGTAACTAACACTCAATCGGAGAAAAATTCTGACTTTTTCTTATCGAAAGTCGAATATATATTCAATAATAGAGAGTCAAGTTTAATTATCAGGCTTTTATTATGCATAAATCCATATTGAACATTTTCTTTTGATAAAAACAAAATTAGCAGCTATGAAATTCATTTAATTTTTAAAATTGATACTTTGTAATTATATAATAAATCATTACAGCGATTTGTTTTTTAATGATTTAATTTTACCAAAGACAAAAAAAAAGCGTTCTTTGAATGAACATTACAATTTGCTAGATGTTGATGTTTTCATGTTGGAATTTTCTTTTGAATCCGGTTTGGATAAAAATAATGTGTATTCAATGAATAAACTTAAGAATTATTGTTATTCTGTGATTAGATGCTTTGAAATACTTTTCAAACTCTATCTATGAATGAAAACAATAGAAATTCTAACAAATTATAAAGAAGTTTTTGATCTATAAATCATGTCAATACAAATCATAAAACTATGCTTTGAATGTTAAATGTCGTCGTATTCTTATTAGAATTATCATTAAATTAAAGAAATGAAGCTTTTAGATCTAAGTTCTCATTGAAATCTACTCCATCCAAGTGTTACTTTTTTTTGTAATAGAAATTTATTATTAATTGTATTTATTAATTAAATCGATCTAAATTCTTTTTTTTTTTTACTTTAAATTACAATAATTTAAAATAAAATTATTTTTGAATAAATCCGTCTTACAATGAATCCATAAATTCTTTTACAGCTTCAATTGTTTGTGCACAATTTTTTTCATAAATTCCTAAAAAAAATCAAATTTTTTTGTCTATTTTATTGAATTATAAAATATTTTACCTGGTAAACTAAAGAATGAATGAATGACATTTTTAAGTAATACTAATTTTGTTTTAATTCCAGCTTTTTCAAGTTTTTTTTGATATGCTATAATAGACAAAAATAAAACAAACTATTTTTTATTTTATTTTATTTTTTAAATTTATACCATAACTATCATCTCGTAATGGATCAAGTTCAGCAACAATAAATAAACATGCTGGTACACCTTCAAATGATTCATATAATAAAACGGATGCTCGAGGATCTTTTTTATCATTTTCATCACGTAATGCATTTGAAGTAAACCTAAAATAAATGAAGAAAAAACACTTTTCACAATAATTAACTAATTTTATAAAAGAAAAAAAATTACCAGCCAATTACTGCAGGTGTTAAAACATGTTCTGGACTCGTAAATTCTTTATATGATTCTGTTCCACCAGCAAAATCAAATGCACCATAAACAAGAATCTATTTTTTAATAAGATATAAAAATTTTCATTAAATAAAAAATATCAACCTGAAAATCGAGTTTCTTTATTGTATGACAAACTGATGCAGCAATTAATCCACCAGCACTATCACCTGCAACACCAATCTTTGTATTTTCATCAGCACCTAAAATGAAAAATTCGTAAATAATAAAAATAAGTGTTTAATATTTACCATAAGAAGTTTTATTAGCAAGAATTTGTCGAGTTACTTCGCATCCATCATCAAGCCAAATAGGATATTTATGTTCAGGTGCAAGACGATATTCAACTGAAATCCATACAGATTTTGTTGCACTAAGAGAAAAATTTATAATTTATCATATTTAAATAAATCTATAATCAAATACTCAGCAAGCATATTAACAATAGTTTGATGTGTTTTTCGACTAGCTAATGTCCAACCTGTAATATTTATTATTTGTTTTAGATTTATCAAAAAAGAAAAATTTGATGGTTACCTCCACCATGAAAAAATATGACCATTTTATCTTTTGTAACATCAGCTGGTGTATAAACTGTAATGGGTATTTCTGAATATTTCAATTTAAAAATTTCTTTTTTTTTTTTAATTGACGATTTCAATTTCAATTTTACCTATATTTTCATCTATTTTTATTTTTCTTTCTTCTTCTATGCCTTTAAATGTTCCAATAAATTTTTCATTAACTTTTTCATGTACATTTTCACTTCGTTCTCGCATTCCTCCTAATGTGAAAGTTTTTGGTGCTGGAAAATTTTCTAATATAAACGTAGCATATGTACGTGCTTCATCACCTAATCGTGGATCCCTAAGAATATATGATTATAAATCATTTAATTAATTATTCAAAAAAAGAAAAAGAAAGAAGAAAACGAACTTACATTTAAATTACAATCGTATTCTTCTTTTTTTTTAGATTGCGTTTGAAAATGATAATAAAAAGAAACTAAAATACCAAAGAGTGACATTTGAGGCTTGGTATACTTTTCTTTTTTTCTATGTAAAATCTTATGCTTTACATATCTTTTCGTTATATTTGCATTGTATAGAGAACGAAAAAACAAAAACAAAAAAAACCAGGTACAAACTCAGCATAAAAGTACATGCGCTTCAGACACATTGAATTTATGTCAGACTTGATAACGTAACTGTCGTTTTTTGTATTTATTACAGATGTGAGAAAAGTTCGAAATAATCGTTAATGTTAAATTAGATTAAAGAAATATACATCGAACTTTTAATGCTGTCGAAAACAAAATCAAGTGACCCATAGTAAATGTCTCATTTTTGTATTTCACGTAGGACATGTTCTGCAAAAAAAAAAAACAAAATTTGCTATAAGATGCAGCATGAAGAACTGTCAAATTTTCGATTTTGTGACCAAGATCATTTTTTTAATCTCATATCGATCAAAGACCATTCTATTCACTGAAGAAGTTTACTTTTCATTAGAACATGATATATACTGCAAATTATCAGGAAGAAGCCGAACAAGAAAACATAAACTAAAAGGCTAAGTATTCAAAAAATAATTATGGTATGATTAAGTGCATCTAAAAATGGTCTTACATCTTGAATTATTTGTCCTTACATATACGTCATCTGACGAGAAACATCTTTTCGACGATGATTTCATCTATCAGCAATGCAATGCTATATTATATACACATCAGGAATTATTGGCATAGTCTGAAGAGAATTTCATGCGTTTTATAAACAATTACAGATGGCCACAAAACAGTTCTCATCTCAATGTTTTCGATTATTACATGTGGAACCCTATCATCGATAATATGTAATGAGATAATGTTACGAACTATGATTATTTTAATAGATGAAATAAGAAAAAGAATTTATCATGTATCAATAAATGATCTTGTTTGCAGGATAGAATATTAGTTGCACAGAACATTTTACAGTGCATTTTTTTTTTGTCTGAATATAAATTAGCTATGAATATCCTAAAAAGAGACAGATCTCAATAAAAGTTAATTTCTGGTCTTTGGATTTTCTCCTGTCATGAAATATCAGCGATGTAAAAACACGATACTATCATAGTTATATCTTAGAATAAGAACAGAGACACGATCTGAAATATTTTCAATAAACTATTCTTACTTAAGCCTGTTTCTATACAATGTTTCGAGTTGAAATTCGAAAACTAGTTTTTTTCTGAACCACGACATTCATTTAAAAAATATCGTAGAAATGCAATATCTTCACAGTACTAGGCTAATGACACGAGCAGTTGAAGGACTTCCCTCATAAATAATAAAAATAAACAAATACAAAAAAAAAAACGATCATTTATTGCGAATTGTCTTTTATGATGAAAAATTTCATTATAATCTCGTACGTTGTAACTCATTTTCTGTAAAGTAAATGCAAATTTGACTCAAGTACAATTATGCGTTTTCTATTATCATCAAATAAATTAAAATGAATCATAATGGGATAGATCAAAATACAACCATTCTGAATTATTATTATTATTATTATAACAAGTAGTTTTTATTAACTATAAAATCAATTTTCGATCAGAGTTTTCCAATATAACTTTTTCTAAATCTATAATTTTACTTTGTATAATAATCTTTAATCGTCAATTCTTTATTGAACAAACTAAAAAAAAGACAGTGCATCACATATATTACTAGCTCATCTAGTGGTATTCAATTTTATCTAGAAACTCGTAATGATACAATCTGTTAATATATGGTTATAACAAAAAGTCTTAAGAAATTCATTTTAAATAAGAATTCTCATTTGTAAAATTTTCTTCATAAATTTTTCATAAATTCTTGAACAGCATCTATTACTTGTTCGCATGATTTAACAAATATACCTATAAATATATTCAATAAAAAACAAAAAAAAGAAACTAATTAAATTTGTTTTACCAGGATTGCTAAAAAATGGATGAATAACTCCTTTAATCAAAACAAGTTTTGTTTTCACTCCTGCTTTTTCAAGTAACTCTTGATAATCTAAAACAAGCATACAATTATAATTTTTTATTTTTTCGATCTTATTCATTGATTTTCTTCTTACTATAACTATCATCACGTAATGGATCAAGTTCAGCAACAATGAATAAACATGTTGGTAATGAATTGAATGATTTATTAAGTAATATTGAAACTCGGGAATCATTTTTATCATCTTCATTACGTAAAGCATTTGAAGTAAACCTAAAACAAATCTTTTATATAGAAAAATAAGTTTCTTTTTTTTTTTTGTATTTATATCTTATAATACCAATCAAGTACATCAATTGGTATCACAAAAATGTGTTTATTAAATTCTTGACGCGATGGAAATTTATGGAAAAAATCAAATTGACCACTAACAAGAATCTATTGATTAAAAAGATTTAAAAAAATTTATTAGAATAATAAATATCTACTTGAAAATCAAGATTCTTTATTGTATGACAAATTGATGCAGCAATTAATGCACCAGCACTATCACCTGCAACACCAATCTTTGTATTTTCATCAGCACCTAAAACAAAAAATTCGTAAATAATAAAAATAAGTGTTTAGTATTTACCATAAGAAGTTTTATTAGCAAGAATTTGTTGAATTACTTCGCATGCATCATCATGCCAAATAGGAAATTTATGCTCAGGTGCAAGACGATATTCAACTGAAATCCATATAGTTTTTGTTGCACTATAAGAAAAAATTTATAACTTTACATGTTTAAATAAATCTATAATCAAATACTCAGCAAGCATATTAACAATAGTTTGATGTGTTTTTCGACTATTTACTGTCCATCCTAAGAAATACATTTTCTAAAAATGTACTACATAAATTTATATTATTACCTCCACCATGAAAAAATATGACCAATTTATCTTTATTAACATGAATTGGTGTATAAATAGTAATTGATATTTCTAAATCATTTACATAGTTCTTGAAGAAAACAATTAATTTCGAAATCTACCTGTATTATTATTAATTTTAATATTTTTTTCTTCTTCTATGCCTTTAAATGTTCCAATAAATTTTTCATTAATTTTTTTATGTAGAGCTTCAGCTCTATCACGCATACTTTGTATTGTAATATCAAATGGAGGAGGAAAACCGGTACGTAAAAATTGTGTATAAGCTACTGATTCATTATTAAATCTTGAGTCCCTAGAGTAGAAAAGAAATATCTAATGACAAGTACTATTCATCATCATTTAAAACAATAGCTTATACATTTACGTTCGTCAAATCGTCTCGAGAAACAAAATAAATAATGGTAATGACAGCAAAAAAGGACTCCTCTACACGATATACACACCCTCACCGACACTATGTGTGGTGTATGATTGAATAACGTGTATGTGTCTGTATCGTTTACAGGAACCAGAAAAAAGAACGACATCTATTTTCATACAACCAGTCATCCTTTCTCGTTATGTATCAAGCGCGTTGTACAAACAAATGTAATTGTGACCTAATCGGTGTCTGGAGTGTAAGACTCCTTCATTGTAAAAAGCTTTTATTTTTATCCCAGTAGAGTTGAAAATTTTTCTTTTTTGAATTCCATTAGAAGAAAGACATTCTTCGTTTGCAAAAAAAAAAACGAACACCAACAAACGAGACATCATCGTGATGTTTACTGCCATCACTGTTTTACAAAAGTAAACAATACTTGAATCATTAGTTGCATTTATTCATAGTAAAAATCAAAATTCTTTTTAACATATCTTTGATCTCTGTTAATGTGTACTGGTAAATTTATAACAAATAAATCTTATATTCCGACTAAATGGTATAAACAAAACAAAACAAGAAAAAGAAAATCACCAATGTCGATACATTAATGCAAACATACAAACAGCAGTAGTCCTATTATGTGAACGTTTGATCTTTTTTCAGACACATAACTTAGCAAGACAAATAGAGAATAAAAAAAAAAAAAAAGAAATAGTTAAAACTCATCAATAACCGATCAATTATCATTGACAGAAGATCACGCGTGCATCGATTACATTTTTTTCAATTATATACCTGCCATCTTCCATATGTGCTCTCACGCACACACACACACACACTCATCGATCTCGTTTATTAACAGTCGATTTGGAAGCAATAGATGCAAAGAAAAATAGTTGTCATTCTTTTGTATTTTGATGCATCACATCAATAGAAAACGATTTGCAATGAGGCACAGAATAGAAAAGAAGAAACCGCGACATCCATCTATTCTAACAGAATGTATTTATAATTTGTTCAATGTGTTAATTGGTCTTATATGCTTGTTCGCATTCGCTTTTGTCTTGCCTATAAACTTCAATTGAGTATGTTGAATGACGAAAGAAGAAAAGTCATCTTGTTTAAACGACACATACTCATACAAACCATCTGGAGCCACTAAGTATCACAAGATGACAGACAAACAGCAACAGCTACTATCAATGACTCGTTTTCTCATGTATTCAAATGTTTGTCACTGATGTTTGCCTCAAGCGACAAAAGAAAAAGAAAAATATATATAATAGAAATGAATATGACTGACGTGAACCTATCTTCATCACTGTGATTTTTTTCTTCTTCTTATTCTCTCGATTGATGATACTTCTTATTGATTACATGCTCATCAAATAGTGATTCGTTCTAATGCGCCTACCATTCTCTTGTTGCTCGTCTCATCATTCGTACCTAATTTTAATATATGAGCGAGCAAAAGAAAATCATGGATAGGGGATACAAAAGAAACCCATCGATCATGCTTGACGATGACATCGAACGTAAGAACAAACAGTCAGTATAGTTCTCTTCTTCTTTTTTTCTTTTTTAGCCAAATAAGAGAGCGCGCAAGTGTATCCTGTTTGTATTACGCGAATCAATGAATAGATGACAAACGTAATATAAAGAAAAATGCATGATCAAGCTCTTGTTATAATCATTAGATATGCAAATACGTGTCCATACACTTGAAGAAACCTTTTTTTTTTTTTTTTTCGTCTAAATAGAGAAACATAACACCTTTTTTTTTGTCAAATACTCTTCGTCAATATTAAAAACGAAAAAAAAAAATTAATATATCTGCTATGTCAATAAAATTTATAATAGCACGAGATCGGATATAAATGAATAAAATTTAATTGAAATCTTACAAAAAAAAAAAAAGATTCTATATTATGATTTAAACATATATGCTAGTGTCATTTTTTGATTGATATATACAAATCTTTGAATATTGTTATGATTATCACCATTCTCTGACATATGCCAATAGGCAGACAAACACATACATATAACTATATTATGAGATTCTTTCTCTCTTTTGTTTGCTTGAGAAGTTGTTGCTCGATTATTTTCACATATTGTATCTTGCTTTCTTTTTTCTCGTTTATTGGTTAAACAACCAATTACTATAGAGAAAGACAACGAAGACGTACTCTCCTATTGGTAGTTGTATAAGTAATGGTTTATTTTCTTTTTCTTTTTTTTTGCTTTCTTTACATTGTATGTCGACAATGAGCTGCTAGGGTTGGGGGGGGGGGGGTGAGAAGAAAGAATGTTGATAGTCGCAACTGGCGCAAGAAAAACTCAATCATCTATCTCAAAGAGAAGCAGAGTCATGTCCTTCGATGTATATAATATATACACATAGACACACATCTTTCTTTCTATCTTCGCTTGAATGAGTATCTACATATGTATATGTAAGAGTAGTTTTCTTTTTTTCTTCTTCGTTATCAACCAATCAATAAACAGTACTCTCTCTTTTTTTGCTCTTAACCAATTCTCTTTTCAACCGAGAGAGACACGAAGAAGAAAAAAAAAAGCCGATAAAGAGAGAAAGAGAGACACAGAAAAATCCAGTGAACTACAAGAGAGAACTCAATCAGAGTAGAAGAGAGAAGTCAACTCTGTATAACGACAACGAGAAAAGATAAACTTACACAAGAGAGATCAGTTGATACACATACATACATACATACATACAAAAAAACAAAGAAAAGATTATCATTTGATTATTTTTATATTATCTGCTAAACAACAATAACAACAAATTATGTATCACCCATCAATGTGGCATCCTATTCAACCACTTGATATGGCTGCAGCATTTCGTTCAATACGACAAACACCATCATCACCAAATTCAACAACAACAACGACAACAACAACTACAAGTCCAGATAAAAATTCTTTATCAGCTGCTGTTGCTGCTTTTAATGCAGCCAATGGTGCATTTTCAGTTAATACACTTCTTAATCAAACATCATCTGATCATTTACGTTTTCCTTCAACTCATCCATCTTTAACGGCTGCAGCTGCAGTTCATCAACATCATCTATTTTCAACTCTTTTTCATCATTATCCTTATGCAGCTGCATTTCGTCCTTTATTAAATAATCCAACAACAGGTTTATTAACATCATCAGCAAATTCAAATTCATCATTATCATCATCATCAACTGAATCATCAGAATCATCAGCATTTTTACCAACAGGAAAACGTTTTAAAACTAATACACATGATGAAAATCATTGTGATATATCACCATCAGAAAAAAGCAGTGATGAAAGTTTTGGTAAATATTCAGGTATAAGAAAACAAAAAGTTCTAAATAAATTCTAGTCAATCCGTCTTTCTCTGTTTCTTCCTAAATCTGTCATTGTTCGAATAATCTCCCATTTTTTTTTCTCAAAATCTTAGATCCTCTATTGCCATCAAAATATTTTTTTTGCCCTAAAGATGATTTCATCCGGTTGATTTCACACATACGAACTGGGTGGGGTTTATTAATTAACAAGCTAAAACAAAAAAAAAAAAAATCAATTATCGTTTATTGTTTATCTATACTCATACGATAGTTTCCTGTAATAATCACAGTATCTTGTGAAAAATACATATATATTTAAATGTAACAGTGAGAAATAATTTTCCATTACATAAATAACTATATGTAGTAGTTTTAAGATCAAACAAGATTTTGATTGATTGATCGATATTTAATAAGAATGAATGAATGAATATATATATATATATGTAAGCACAACAGTCATATTAATCCATGACTTCAGGGCAAAAAATCACTCTTCACTTAGACTTTCTTTGTGTTGCAGTTTTGTTGATATACATTATCGACAGGTTGACTTCGAGGAAAATATTCAGCTGTATAATCAAAAAAAGAAGAATTGTATGATCAGGCTATTTAGACATATGGTATGATAGTAATCCATAAGTGAAAAAAAAACGAGAAGAAGAAGTCATAAAATAATCAAACTCTTGACTAATGAGACGAAATAAAAAAAAAGGGTACCGGATGGAATAGACAGACAGCTCTCGTCGATCTCTTTTTCTTTGCTAAGAATGTATTGAGCAGCTTGTCATTAAACACAACACCTTTTATTATTTCTCTAGAGAGTCGATGTCGATCATCAACATATGATTTACAAAATCCACAATGTCCGATTTGTCAAATATCATTAAATGGACAAGATATGATAATACATATTCAACATGAACTTGATACTATTGAACGTACAAGACAACAACATAAATATTCAACACGACGTACATCACATTTAACCAATAGTAATAATAGCAAAGTAAGAAGTTTTATCATCTGTTGTTAATACACAAATTAATCATAATTGACTATGTTTATCAGACAATAATTATTTTTGATTTTGTTATCTAGATTCTACAAGAAAATACAATTAATAATATCGATCAAACATTTAAGACACGTTATGAGGTAAATATACAAAAAAAAAAAAAAATCTCTTTTTAATCATTCTTCATGGGTTTATTTTTAATATTCTTCTAGACATATATACGAGTACGAACAAGTCGACAACAACGTTTAAATGGTAAGAAATATTATTATAAAAAAAAAATAAAACTAACAATGCATTTTTTAGCTAAATTACAATTACATAATCGACGAGTAAATCGTAATGATACACGAAATTGTCCAATATGTTATCAAATAATTCCAATCAATACAGATGAAGAATATTTTTGTACACATGTTCAACAATGTTCAAGAAAAGTACCAAAAACAAAAAGGTTTTTATTTATAATTTTTTGTTTTTCTTCTTTTTGATATAGAGAGAACAATTAGCAGCTAATGCAGCTCTAGCTGCAATAGCCAATCAACATCGAGTACCACCACCACCACCTCCACCATTAGTATTACAAACAAGAGAATCAACACAAGGTAAAAAGAAAATTAAAAGAAGAAGTTTTTTTTTTTTTTTCTATTAAAAGTATTCATCAATAGATGATCCAGATGTTAATGTTGTTGATATGGATGATGGAATTGAACATGAAGATAATAATAGCAATCGACAAAGTACTAATGAAACAACTAGTACAGCAGATCATAGGTATGGATAAAATATTATCTAGATAATCTGATAGATAGTGATGAGATTTAACCTGGTATCAAGTATGAAAGAATCTAATATTCTTCTAATTGTCAAAGATATTCTATATATCAGAATGTTGATTGCTTTGGACTTTTGTAAAAGATTTAATTTTTGTTTTTTTCTAGTGATGATCGATGTCAAGAATCGTTTAACAGTGATCAAAGGTAAATAAAATATTTTGGATTTGTTTTTTAAAAAATAATTATTCGACTTTTTTTTTGTGAAGATTTTCTCCTTCAACACAAAAAAGTGATATACTATATTCATCAAATGTAACTGAACTTGATCCTCCTAAATGTGTTGTTTGTATGGTGAGATTTATCGAAATAAAAAAAAAAGAGAAGAAAGCAGAAATAATTTGTTTTTATTTTCTATAATCTAGTAGGAATCGTGTGTAAAACCGTGTGTATCACTTATTTGTTGGCATATTAATTGTGAAGAATGTTGGTTGAAATATCTTAATGAAAAAAATATTTGTCCACAATGTCATTTAAAAACAACATCGAAAAATCTTCGACGAATTTTTTTTAATGAAATAACTAAATAAAACTTTCCTCTTTTTTTTTTTTTTTTTTCTTTTTCGTCTATTTCTACTTTTCTTTCGTTTTTTTTCTTCTCTTCTTTTGCTGTATTTGTCATGTAAAATAAAACGTTATTTTTTACAATCAAATATTCACTTGAGTAACAATCAATTTCAATAGACATCCGTTTCTCATCATGAATAAATTAAAGAAACAAAAAGAAGAAAGAGAATGACATTCGGAAATCATACCGTTCGATAATAATTAATATTCACCTGCTGAGCATTAAAAAACATAGAAATGGAATATTTCACATTCATATTATAAATAAAAAAAAAACAACAGAATATGACAACTCAATCTGCTGTTTACGATGATATTCAAGAAGGTAAACCACGCATAATATCATATGATGATAATGGTATTCGTACAACAACAACAACAACAAAACTTGGACCAGATCCAAATGTAAAACCTAAAGAAACAGTTACAGTACGTACAATTGATCATCCTGATTCAACTGAAACTGTAACAGTTACTGAAAAAAAATTACCACCAATACGTTATACAGAAACAATAACACGAGAAAAATTACCAAAAAAAATTCCAACATCACGAGTACAAATAATACAACCTACACCAACAAATAGATCTACATCAGAAATAGTACGTCCTACTAGTGTAATACCAGATACTTATATAACAAATGAAATTCCACCAACTGCTAAAACAGTATGTGTAAAAAATAAAATTTTAAAATTAATTGTTTTACTCTATTATTATTATTTAGTATAATATTGTACGTCGTGAACGTATTGTTGATGAACCAACTACTGTTGTTTATCCTGCAACACGTCAAGATCGTGTTATTGTAACACAACCAGGACGTATAACAACACCTCGAGTTATTATGCGTTCAACTCCTGAACCAACATCATATATTCAAGTACAAAATCCTCGTACAACACGTATTGTAGAAGTTCGTCAAGGACCATCACCAGTTATTGTTGATGTTGCAACACCACCATTAAGAACAACAACAACTACAAAAAAAACAACAATTGTTAATGATAATGTTCATGATACTTTTGTTGACGATAGTCGTACACTTGTTAATTATCAAGATGATTATTATTCAACACGTCGTGTTGGTCAACGTTCAGAATGGTGTGGTAATTGTGGAACTGATTGTTTGGGTTGTGGTTGTTTTGATGATTGTTGTGGTTCAATGAATTGTTGTCGAACAAATTCATTTGCAAAAAGAAAAGATGTTGTTTCATATAGAACAAGAGTTACCAAAGATGGACGACGTGTTCGATATCGTGTAAGTCTAAAAAAAAAATATCATTTTTTGTTTTGTTTTCTTCTTCTTATTACTTCATGACTTAGTGGGTGTTCGTCAAACGATTTACTTTCACACATAGATTGCTTTTCTTTTAGAAGAACAACGTAGAAACATCATTATTGTTGTTGTTATTATTATTGTTTCTATTCACATAGATGTGAAAGAAGGAGAAAGGACAGTAGACACGCGAAAAGAATGTTATGAAGCTATTCTAATAGTTTAGATATTTGTATGTCTACGCCCATTTTTATTATTTTTTTTTCACTTAAACAATCTTATGACTAATGTGTGACAATTAAAAATTGAAGAAATGAATGAAAATATTAAATTAGACACATTTACTGATATATTTACGAGATGTTCATTGAAATAATAATTGAATAATAAAATTTCTTTCTTTCCTACAATGATAAACTAACGAGGGAACGTTCGGAGGTGCTAAAAAGTGTTTGAGCCCAAATTTTGTCCATAAGTAGGGAATATATAGACTAGAAAAAGCCTAAGAGGATATGGGCCTAAATTGAAATTTGGCTGAGATATCGACTTTTTACTAGAATTTGCCTATGGGACCACATTTTTCCCATGAAATCAAAGTTTCGAGTTTTGACGTGAAACTTTGCCCATACCAAGATCTCAACTAGAGTAGCTCATCTACAAAGTTTCAGAATTTTTGGACTAAGCATTCCCGAGATATAATGTTTTCAAAATATTCATGCATACAATAATATCGGTAAAAAACTGTATTTATGCTAACAGACTGATATCTTAGGAATGCTTAGTCCAAAAATTCTGAAACTTTGTAGATGAGCTACTCTAGTTGAGATCTTGGTATGGGCAAAGTTTCACGTCAAAACTCGAAACTTTGATTTCATGGGAAAAATGGGGTCCCATACGCAAATTCTAGTAAAAAGTCGATATCTCAGCCAAATTTCAATTTAGGCCCATATCCTCTTAGGCTTTTTCTAGTCTATATATTTCCTACTTATGGACAAAATCTGGGCTCAAAAGCTTTTTAGCACCTCGGAACGTTCCCTCGTAAGATGTACTTTCTTTTAAAACTCATCTCTTTTGAGACAAAGTGAATTACGCAGATCGTAACGAGCTATGAATTATTCTTTTTTTTTCTTCGAATAAATCTTAAGCATTCAAAAATATCACAGTTATGTTGAGATATAAAATAATTAAAAAGATTTTACAATGAATTACAATTAAAAGAATTATTATTATTTTTTTTTGTTCAGAACGCTGATGTACCCGGTTATCGTTGTTGCAATTGTTGTACAGGTTGGTGTTCTCGTTTTTGTCCATGTTGTGCATGTCTCGAATGGTTTTGTGCTTGTCCATGTTGGCTATGGTTATGTTGTCTTCTTCCACTTTTACTTGGTCTTCTTGGTTTATCAATTGGTTTACTTACACAATTACCTTGTAAGTATTTAAAGAGATTTTTTTTTATCGCTTACGTAGTTTAGCTTCATCTTAAAATTCGGATAGCGATCACATCTAATACGAACAATGTGAAAACATTACGTGTAATTGAACAAGTAATAAATGAAACATGGTATGTCTATGGACTTGATCAACCATGTCAAGGTAGTGCAACAACATTTCCACCAAGTTTATCAACAATAACAACATTAATACCATGTGCACAAACAACAACTAGTTGGGCACGTATTATACAAGCAACAACATTAATAACTATAAGCAAAAGTTCAAAAACATTAATAAATAATAATTTTCTTTTCATAATTTTAATTTTTTTAACTTATATTTATCGTTATGTTTTTCTTTAAAAAAAAAGAAAAATAAATAAATCTATTCTTTCAGCTATCAATTCAAATTCAAATCAATACAATGAATTACGTGTAACACAAACATATAATACTGTCTTAGCTGTATTAGGAGAAAATGCTGTTTGTCAACCAGATCGTAATTTACCTGGTGTACCATTATATTGTGATCAAACAACAACAAGCTTTTCTGTAACAGCAACATCATCATCAAGTACAGTTTTTGCTATACAAGTTAATCGAAGTAATCATCTTGATTATGATTATATAATTATTATTTTATTAAGTTTTCTATGCTTTGTTATTCAAAAATATTTTCAATTGATTATACGATCAATTTTTATTTATTAAAAAAAAGAAAATAAAGACTTTTCAAAATATTTATAGTTCATTTTTAAGATTGAGAAAATCTTTTTATGAATGCTGTGCGAAGCCATGCATGTGTATTTGCATACGGTTTGTGTCGCAAGAAATGTGTTCGAACTATGTGAGGAAGATTCATATCTCAAGATGATACAAACGTTTTTTAATTTTCACTAAAAGTTTTCTTTTATCTTCAGAATTTTGTCTCCATTTTTTCTTCGAGATAATAAAAATCTTTACTAGGACACCGAAGTTATCACTTTCTGTTTAGAATGGTTCCGAGAACGAAGAGTCAGAAAGTACGTAGATCGACGATCTTGTATTGTCGTGCTCACACATCCCAGAAAGTAATGGATTTGTAGAGAATCTTTTACTACACAAGACTTTTATATTTGAAATCAGAATCGATTATATTTCTTCAGTTTAATACTTATGTAACGCTATGAATAGCAGGAGTAAAACAAGCTTATTGCAATCCAAGCAACAGAATGAATACATATCTCACTAAGCAAGAATATATCAAATGAAACTTAATATAGTGGTGTGGTGTTCTAAATTTCATTCACTGTTCACATAGGGCTACTGTAAGCTTTTTATTGCTGTCATTCATAGCGTAGCAAATGTATATAACTTAAATGGTATAATTTATTTTGATTTCAAATATAAGACTTTCCTACGGAAAAATGTACCCACTGAATCCACGCTGTTAAAACAATTGTTATCTGCTTCAATGATGAATAAAACAGTACAAGAACGTCTATCTATGATAGGTGTATAGATAAGAGACGACTAAAACAATTTTTCAATTTGAAATGTCTATTCAAATAGAATATTTGATGTCGTTTGTTGTACTCTTGCTAATAATTTATTGAACAATAAAATTAGGTAAACTAAGTGTTCAACAGATCTTGAATGGATTTGGGATTTGTCACCAAATCTTTGAGGTTTGAATTTGGGATTTGTTTTCAATCTAACATGACTCCAACTTTGCAGTCATGCTACACTGGAACCAAATCTACATCCCAAATCCAAATTCCAAACCCAAATCTAAACAATTTGATATGAATTTATAAGACTTGAAATTCTTTTCTCTCTTGTGGGACTTTATTTTACAAAGTCTTATCAGATTTGGGTAATTTAAGACCAAACCCAAACCCAATTCCAAATCTATTTTCACCAAATCCCAAAGCCTTGGATTTGTTGCACCTCTAAGGTAAACAATATGGGAATTAAGTAGAGCGCAAGTTGTTCTACTAAATCATGTATTATAACGAAAGTTTCGACTCAAAACAGATGCACAACAGTTTGAAAAACGAAGTGGTTGAATACTTTGGAAGAATTAAAAATGACAAGCGGTATTTGTATAGTCCATAAAAGCTAAACAGATCCTAAGATAAAATTATCTACCAGTTGAATAATTTTGATAGCTGCTGTATATGCTGATAGTGCAAACAGTGCTCTATAACATTTCACTATTGTTCAATTGTTGTGATTATATAAGAATTTCGATCAAAGCTGAACTATACTCAAACGAGAATTATTCATAATAAACTTTATTTTGTTGTTGACGTATGAACTCCACTTCTTAGAACAGTTGAAAGATGACATGAATAGTTTTGTGAAGGTCGAAAAGACACTCAAGATGAAGAACATCTTTGCATCCTGTAATTCGAATCATATTTTTCATGATCATCCTCAAGATTAGCTGTTGTGATGCATAACTAGCCGTAATGTTTTTAACTTTACGATGAAAGATGATTATTCGTTGATTATGGATGTGGGCATAAGTCAACAAACAGCCCACATTCATACCTACATCCGAGATACATCAAATCTACGTAAGGTACAAAAATGATGTTTTCATGCGAATTAAGGAAAACATTACTTTTGCATCTTCTGAAGGGTTGATGTATATCGGTCAACAAAAATCGTATAAACCTGGAAGATGTTATATTTTGCGCGCAATTATTTGTCATATCATTCTGGGTAATTTAAACAGAATTCTATTTTTGACTTTCAAGAGTTAAGAAGCTTAGGTTTTGGTTTTTCAGAGGCTTTATCAGTGGGAAACTAAATCATTTTCATCTTCGAAAACGCTTGTTAGCAATGAGAGTATGAATGAATATGAGTTAGTGAAGAGACAGCTCTAGAGCTATGTCATTGAGAGTATCAAAGTACAGTTCGACCGAGTTTTGGTGCGAGTTCGAAACTTTTGAACCCGACAAATTCTAGACGATTCACATCCACGTCTTCTCGTGTAATTCCAGCAATATAAACATCAATATAAACATCAGAACATTGTTTTCTTCATAGTTTTTCCCCTATAATATTTCCTATAAACTTTCAATGGATCATACATGTTCAAATTCTTCATTAATAGATCTCAAATAAGTAATGACGACCACCAATTAGATGGAAATAATGTAGTGTGAAGCTACGAATGTCGGTTATTGCAAAAAAAAATCAATATCTCATAAAGAAAAAACATATAATCATTGTTCTGATTTATTATGAATTACACTATTTTTCTAACGATATTAACATTTTACTGGAATTAGGATTTTTGTTCTCGTTGTAAATCGGAAATTTAGGTTTCGACCAATTAACTGATTGAAGTTTGAAAAAATTTGTAAAGTAGCTATTCCGAAAATTCATTACTGAGAGAACTCAATTAACAGTTATTCACATGTTTCTCATAAAATACTATTGATTATCTAGCATCAGCTATAAGTAAAGAGAGTGACGGCTAAGTTTTTATAGCTATCATCGTTTTAATAATTATCGTGAGTCGTGAAGATCTACATAACAATGCTTTGCTTTGCACTGGATTATTTGCTTATTGTATGAATCTCTTTATACATATTATCCATTGATTGTATATATGTTGACATATTTATGAATAAATGATCATATTCTATTGATGAAAATAAATTACCATGGCAATACTGTTTATCATCATGTGAATTACAAAAATCTGTTAAACATATTTTTCTTCTTAGTACTATTTAACCATTAATGAATAGTCGTTTATCAAGTTATTTTGATAAATATGGTTAAGTTTTGTCATGTACTAAAGCAAAAGATACAAGTAATAATACATGTTGATTTTGTATTGTGGCATTTAATAATAAAGATGTTGTTGATAAAATTATGTAAGATAAGTCATATAGTACAGGGTGGGAAATAATATTATTCAAGGAGGGTACCGCTATAATTTCAAATAGAAGATATGATGAATTTTATACCAAATGAAAGCCTGTGAAAAATGGGGTTTATTGGTACTAAATGATGAGGATTATGAAAGCCTTTTAATGTCGACTTAAATAAATTTTCAGAAATTGTATACTTCTTTCGGGGTGGAAAAGTAAAGTGCCAGTAATTGAAAAATGGATTAAAATGTTTTTGTTGGATATTTTTACATGGTTCGATAGAGCTGATTGAGCTCTACAAAACTGTATATATGAAAAAATTTTCTGAGTCATTTTTTTTGTGTTAAAAACTCCAAAAACTATTTGTAAAATCTTAAAAAACGTTAAAAAAGTCCTATTTTTGATATGCAAGAAAAACACCCGAATTTTCAATATAATTAGCTTTTTTGACTATTTTTACTCTCTGTGGCGTTTCAAAATATGCTCATTTCATGCAGCGTGAAAAACTGCATTGAATGAGTATATTTTCAAACATCTTACATAAGGATGCTAATGGAAAACAGCTAAATTTAGTGTAAAAAAGACNTACTGTTGTTCGGGCCAATCCTAGGTTATCTGTGGTTCTCTCTCATATGACCTGAACAACACCATGTTTTATGCGTACAAAAGTAGAGAAGAGTTACTAGCTCACACGGTAAACTAGCAACTTTTCTCTACTATTGTACGGATAAAACATGGTGTTGTTCAGGTCATATGAGAGAGAACCACAGATAACCTAGGATTGGCCCGAACAACAGTATATTTTATCCTTACAATAAAAAATATATTAATGGGTCCTCCGGTCAGACTGGACACCCCCATATATATACTATGACCAATCAGTTCTCATAAGACGCTTACGTTAGACACTGCATTCCAACAAGATAAAAATGTATGCACACAAGAGATCTTGTTTATTCAGTATTCTATAATGATATTGTTTTTTATGATAGTTCTTGTAAAAGAAATAACGATCCCCATGGTCAGTTTTTTCGTAGCAATCGTATGAGGTAATTAAGAAAAGCGTGAATCACTTCTCTGAAACTGGATATCATACTATTTTAATGAAGCAGCTTTATGCAAGAAAAAATATACGAAATCTTTCTTGCTTCATGTCTTACTTTCCTTTTTTTCTTTCTCCTTTTCTCTTTTCTATTCTTGAAACGCTTATAATTGTTCTTTCTCTCTTCAATCTTTCGTTTGCTTGTTCCCTCTCAACTTGTGAAATATTTTTTGACGAGATTTTTTTTGTTCTGGTATTTATTCTTCTACACCCACACGAACACATTCGACACTTTGTGCAATGATAATTGTTGATGATTGTGAAGCTTATCGCATTTACGTTGCCATTAATGCTTCAATATCATAATTTCTCATAATTTTATTATCGTAGCACTGTCAAGTATTACACTTACCAGAATGAAAAAAAGCCTTATTAGTATGGTTTCTTTCGAAGCGAAAGTGTGGAGCTGATAAAATCTAATTTTTATAAATTTATAATATATTCGCAGAGGTTTTAAAATAACTTATTCTTTAAAGATGTCAAATACATGAATAAATAAAGATTTCAATGATTTTTATGGCTGATACACACAGTTTGAAGTTTTATAATTTCGAAACTTTTTGGATTTCTAATTACTTATCCAAAAATTAATTTGATTCATTTAACGTCATTATGCTGTAAAAATTTCTTTATATTATTAAATAAATCTTCAATCTGTAAGTTATTTTCTCTTAACGATGATGTATTCGTGATACATATCAAAGAGAGCGGCAAATATAATTTAACTCTTCGTTTCGTCGATTCAACTATCATATTAGTCTGCTACACACTAGTTTTATCGCTCAATAAGCTACTTGCATGCTATCTCATTCTTGCAACCAATTGTGACATATACTGCTGGGTTTCACCTAAACTTAGGATGCAATCAGTGCAAATTGTTCCAAGTCTGTCCTATTTCGACTCTATTAGGTCGAAACAACGACGATCATATTCATTAATATTTTCAAAAAGATCTCTTTGCTGAACGGAAAAACGTAAATTGCAATTTTAGACTAAGCTGCAAGAATCTGTCAAGTTTCAAAATGATGTAAGTCCTTATATTAATTAGGTGCCAAGAAGGAAGCTAGTCAAGTCACATCCAGCAAAACTTGCGAGCAGGCTCTGGATTCAGATTGATTCTACTTTTTATTTCTGTACTACTCATTCAACTTTATGCTTTTATTTTTTCATTTCCTAGAATGATTCAGACGCCGTGGACCAAACACGATGAGGACACAAAGGATATAATAAAATATTGCGGAAACATCGGAGATACGAAGGATACATGAAGGATACCGAGGACGCAGTTTGATGCACTGTAGAAAATATAAAATATATACGATATACTCCATAAGACTGCTGACAAATTAGTTCTGATTGAGATCTCTTATCAATCACAAAGAGTTTACGATGTTTTTGTAATATGTTTCGATATTACGTACATCATTTTTTGCGATCCAGCAAGTCTAAACTCAAAATAATAATAATGTTAACTACGTAGTGTCTTATCAATCTACCAATCGAACGTTTGATTACTGTGTCAAAAACAGCGAGCTGAGTCAAATCATGTAGAGCGAAAATTTGAAACGTCTGTTGGTCGTCTTCAGTACATTCCACTTCATAACTTCTGATCGAAGAGCAAAACAACTGATTCTGAGATCCTATATGCACTATGCGTATTCTACGCATTTCAATAACATCTTTTGTATCCCAGCATATCCTTTATATCTCGACTGCACTGCTTGTACTCTCAACGTACCCTTCGTATTCGCTGCATCCTCAGCATATCCCAAACAAAAAAGATTCTTGTATCCGAGGTGTATTGAGGATACGGAGGATACCAGGATATCAGGACTTGCTTTTCCTCCTTGTCCAAAAGCGTCAAAGATGGCGAAAAATCTCTAGAAAACTTCAGCACTTTCTATTCATCTCTTACCGATGATGAAGAATACAGCGTCAAGCACATTTATAACAAGCATACACTCTTTTTCTATTTCTGCGTATATAACTGCATACTGCTATTTTATATATGACTCACTATTATGATTGTTTCTCTGCGTAGCCGTTGACAGTGAAATATGATCTTTACAAAGCAATGTATAAAAATGAAATGTATTTACGATTGACGTATACAATGACGGTATATATTTGTCTGTTTGCTCGTAAACGATCGTATTTCTCTGTTAAGAGGCGTATACAAATGTCAGTACAGAAGGATGTAGGTGTGAATAGGGACGATATTCAAGAGTAGAACTCATCCGCTCAAATCCACACCCACGCCCAGCGCTACTCAGAAGCTGTCTCTCCAGCAAAATGCTCATGCTCAATGAATTCAGTCACATTCAACTTAGAGTCACAGAGAAATTTTTGAAGCCTCAAGTGAATGATGCTCAATTTTCTTCTCAATACCCGTTTATCTTGGTTAGATTTCAAAATGCTCATTTCAAGAAGGATTTTGAGTGCCAGATAAACTCTTTATTTATGACATATTTCAATTACTCAGGTATTGAATCCCATTGTTCTTGTATTTTAAACGAAATGCTTTGCCCACTGACAACAGAAAGTTGTTTTGCAAAAGCTTTTTTGAATTAGAACAAGATATGAGGGTGAATTACATGTGAAATCGTTTTCTTTTGTCTTTAGTCAGTCAAAACTTTCTTCATAAAACATTGAGTTTAATTTAAGTTTGCAACAGAGCACAAGTGTGGACGTGGGACGATGATAGACAAAGAAATAACGAGACACACAACCATGCTTTGGTATGATATAATCATCTATACGCACGAAGAATCTAGTTATTCTAAATTCTTTTTTTAATCTTTGTTTGAAATCATCTTTAACAAGTGTAATAAGAAGAATAATAAGTTTTTAATCAAAGATGTTTTGAAACTTCTATCAAGAAAATGTAAAGCAAGTTGAATTCGTATGAGTAATCATAAATACTTATCTAAATATTAGCAGTAAGAAGGTTTAAGTAATTTATATCAAAACTTTCATCATATTCTGACTTTGAAAGAAAACATTCAATTGCATAACAACTATGAAACTTATATATTATTTTCTTTGTTTACTGCGATGTGTTTTGCTCGTTGTAACAGGATTCTAATATATGTTTGTTATATTTTTCACTTTTGATGCTTTTACTTTCCATTGAAATGAATTATTGAATTCATTTGATAAAGGTAGACGAAATATTTGCGTGTATGAAAAACTTTTAGAAAAACCTCGTATATCATAGCAGAAAAGACTGGAAACAAGAATGAAATATTTCATGGCATGAGGAAAGTTTGAATAAAATTTATTAATTCTTTTCTATGAGAGTTTATTGAACTATTTAGGTCATGCAAATAGAGCAGTTACAAATAGCTAAAAGAAACACTCGGAACTTATTAAACAAAAATGAACAATATAAGAATGGTATCGCGATGAGAAAAAAACCTAAAAAATGTATCGCAAAAAAGGATGAGTGTAGTGGATGGCGTTGTGCCTCTCTTCTCAAATCAAATAATCTGAAAATATGATCTTACACGATTCTCACAAGATCATGTACGATCTAATATAATCATAAAAGATCGTATGAAAGTCATACACGATCTTGTACGATCCCATATGATGGCCTTAAATCCACGATTTCTGATTAAATCGTACTATGCAATTCTTACATGATTTTATGGTGTGATCTTGTAACATATTATATAGTTCATGTAAGATTTTATACGGTTATCGTATACATTGTATAATTAATAGTTCTTGTACTATTCCCCACTTGCCGACTTGGTTTTCCAACCAACTTTTTATCGTCTTTCTTCCGTTTAAAACTAAATTCATTCTAAAAAAAACCACATTAGGTTAATTTCATTTTAATTAACATAAAATGTTACATTAAATTATTTTTATTCTAGTATAAGATAAATTGAATAATACTATTAAATTAAATTAAAAATCTAGTGTTATTTAATTGATAAATATTTAATCGTGTTCGATTATTCTAATTTAAGAGAAATCAAGTAAAATATTTACATTAAATGAAACTATTTTATGTGACATTGGTGTAAAATAAATAAATAAGAATTAACATCATTATTTTACTAACAATAGATCACGAAAATGTTAAAATATTAATCGATGAAATAGAAAAATAGTTCAATAAGATCAATAGAATTTTCAAATGTCTAAAATAAAACTGAAATAATTTTCAAAGTTTGTATCTCAACAGTAAGTTCGATTAAAATAAATATGGCCGCTGATTTGATTTTTTAAGAGAAGAGTATCACTAAAAAAAGTTTTTTTTCCATTCTAAAAGACATGCTATGTAATTACAAAGCATTCAATTTTTAAATAGTTATTTAAACGCATAAACTGTGCTGTTATAAAAATATTCTTGAATAAGAAAAATCCTTAATTATGAGCTTACAAGATCATACAAGATCTCATAGGATTCCAATTGTCAGATTTTGTAAGACTGATGTTAAATTTACAATCACATCTTACGGTACGATAGTTGTACGATTCTATAAGGTCATGCAGCATGAATCTTGTGGCATCCGATTGTTGATAAGATCTTGTAGGACCTTATACGATCTTCGTAAGACTTCTCCACCTGAATAGTGCATCCTTATCCACTGCATGCGTATACCTGCAAGAAATGATCCGAAATCATTCTTAGACATCCCATCAGAATTCCATATCAAGCAAGAATCATGTGAAGGTTTGAAATATAAACAAGCAATCGATCTTCATATAGATATATGTAGTCGAAGAAGTGAGCATTGTATGTCTTTTAGCTAAGTCATTTGAGTATAAAAAAACAACTTGTTGCTCCATTGAATCGATTCATCCAGTTCTGTACTTCTGAGTCTATTAGATAAACTAAAATTTTATCTAAGTCTATTGCTAATGGTTCAATCGACGATAAGGACTATCTAGAAAGAAATTGATCAGTTCGTAGAATTGACATTGAATTTTGGTCTTAGTAATGTTCTGTTTTTTTCATCGTTCTACGATTTTATTCAATGCCTCTTATTCCGAACACTAACAGATGATTCTACAATTCATATTAGTTATTTAAGTGAGAAACGTAAAGAAAAAAAATATTGTGACTGCAATCGATCATTTCATCCCATGATTTCGTTATCAATATAATCATAATGTTGAAATAGCCAATAAATATATTTTTTTTTTTTTTTCGTGACTATAAATTAAAAAGAAATAAGTGGAAAAAATAGGGTCAGAAGACTCTTTTGTCCTATATGATGGTGAAACGAACTATATAATATCCATCTTTTTTTCATTAGAATTATTTTCGATAAAATGTCATCAAGAAGTTCTCCGTCGACACAAGGTAATGGATATGGAATTGTCGTGAGTCTTGAAGCACTCTCCGCTGTGAGCATGGTTGTTGCTACTTTCTGTTTAAAACAGTATCATGGTGAAGCAACAGATTCAAGTGAAGGTTTCTCGACAGCTCATCGAACAGTTAAAACAGGTCTGATTGCATTCGCTGTCGTCTCATCATGAACATGGGCTGCTACTCTTTTACAATTGAGTTCAGTTGCATGTTCCTATGGAATTTCAGGCCCATTTTGGCATGCACGTGGAGCAACTGTACAAATAATTTTATTTTGTGTTATAGCCATTCAACCTAAACGTCGAGCTCCATTTGCACACACATTTCTAGAAGTTATTCATGTTCGATCTGGTCGAATAGTTCATATGGTTTATATTATCTTTTGTTTATACACAAATATTCTTGTTACATCAATGTTATTAACAGGTGGTTCAGCTGTTGTTCATTCTCTTAGTGGAATATATATTGCTGCTGCATGTTTTCTTTTACCATTAGGAACAATTATTTATACAATGTTTGGAAGAATTAAAGCTACTTTTCTTACAGATTATGCACATACTGTAGCTGTTCTCATTATTATTCTCTATTTTGCATTTACTACCCTTGCAACATCGCCATTATTTGGTTCACCATCAACAGTCTATGATCTGTTGGTCAATGCTAGTCGCATACATCCAGTTGAAGGTAATGCAGGAGGATCTTATATAACTATGCGATCGCAAGAAGGAGCAATGTTTTTTATTATTAATATTATTGGAAATTTTGGAACTGTCTTTCTTGATAATGGATATTTTAATATGACGATTACTGCTTCATATGTTTCTGCTCTGCCTGGCTACATTCTTGGTGGAATCTCATGGTCTACCGTTTCATTTCTTGCTGCAACTACCATGGGGTTGGCTGCTGTTGCACTCGAGAGCAATCCAGCATTTCCTAGTTATCCAAATCGATTGGATCCAGCGGATGTGAGCGTCGGTTTAATTTTGTCAGCCGCTTCTGTAGCTCTACTTGGAAAAGCTGGAGCAACGACTACTTTAATCATGGTTTTTATGGTCGTCACAAGTGCTATGTCTGCTCAATTGATTGCTGTAAGTTCGATTATCACCTATGATATTTACAAAACCTATTTCAATAAAGAAGCTAGTGGCAAAAGACTTATCTATATCTCTCATGTTTCGGTCGTCATTTTTGATCTTATTATGAGTGCTTGGTCAACTGGATTATATTATCTAAATATAAGCATGAGCTATTTATATTTATTGATGGGTGTAATCATTTCGAGTGCCATCATTCCTGGTGCTTTGACATTAATATGGAATCGACACAGCAAATGAGCAGCTTGTCTTTCGCCACCATTAGGTCTGTCTTGTTCACTCACTGCATGGTTAGTCACGATTAAAGTTAAATACGGTGCAATTACCGTTGAAACAAGCGAATCAAATATTCCAAATGCTTATCGGGTGTGGGTGGGTGTGAGTGTTGGTGTGGACAAAAATGAGAGAACATCCACATCCACATCCAGACCCACACCCACACTCACCCCACCCTCAAGCAAAAATTCTATGAACGATTGTCCAGTAATATATCTCTAATTTATCGCTGTATTCGTCTTTTTTACTATTCAAATCATATATTTTTTTTACTTTTCTTTAATGACAAACTAAGAAAAAAAATATCTTAATGCAATATTTACAGATGAAAATGTACTTCAATTAATAGTTTTCTTTAATCTAGCTTAATTTGTATTATATGAAAGTAATAGTGTATTTCTTTCAATAAACTTCTCAAATGAAATTTTTGTCCTTTGACGGCATGTCAAAAATTTCTTGTACAAAAAGCGTGGACATGATCATACCATTTGTTTTTTCAGTAACATTAATCGATAAATCAATAAGAACCGAAAAAGAAAAAAAGACCTCAAACATACGCCACACGCCCATTTTCTTTCTCATCATCGTCTATCGTTTCAATGAGTAAATCTCATATGACTAGATTAGTTATTTCTATATATATTCATTCGGTTATGATTCGTCTTCATGTTTTTATCCTGTGACGTTGATAGATGAGTAATCATTGCTACTGTCGAAATCTAATGCAGCATTACTGAAAAATAAAACTAGGGTTTAATAACAAAAATATTTCATCGATGAAAGTGATTTTGAAGTAATCAAAGCAATGTGATGCTTCTCATTTTTTAAAATAATGTAAACATAATGAAATTAATGTAGAAAAAAAGAACCTTATGTAATGATTTCAATTTTCTGGAAATAACCGGAACCACTCAATGACAATAATATCAAACTTATGAAACAAATGCAATTAGTTTTATTTTTCTGTAAAATAGCTGGATTCGTGAAAGAAGAATGGTGCTAAAATAATGAAATTGATGTGGAATGCTTTTGATGTTTTTGAAGTAACAAAAAACATGACATCTTTTGTATGAAAATTTCGAAAACAATAACTATATAAATGAATTTTTTTTCTTTTTTTGAGATCAGAAATCTTGTTGGGTTTCGTCTACATTGTTTGTAATTCTGTCTCAAGATGAACCATCATCAATTGAATTGCCATAGAGATAACACCTGCACATGAATATAAAAAATGAAGGCGACATTATTGGGATTTCATTGAGTCAAGTCTATTGACCTTTGTTATGAATGTAGATACACGAAGAGTTCTACGGATATCTACTTTCAAGCATTGAAAACTTAGTCAAGATCTGAAATAAAATAATGCTTGATTTCTTTTCTTTTTATATCAAAGAATAAGAAAACGTTCGAAATTAAACATAGTACGATAGAGTATCGTAGAAATATACAAAGAATTAGTTGAAAGATTCGAATACGTACCTTTCCTAGTCATATCGGAAAATATATTATGATTGCAATCTTATTGAAAATAATGTGCTCGATTTAATTGAAACATTAAACTAAAAACATTATAAAATATTTTAATGTAACTGTCTTATTAATCTTGATCTTGCCGAAAATATTGGTGATACATAAATATTAGTTAGTGATAGACACCTTCTATTAAAATGTAATGAATATTGTCTAGAACTTGAACAATCATTTAAGGAATTTATTGAAAAAAAATTAAAAAGAAAAGAGAAAAGCAGTTTTATGAATGAACTTTGTAGGAAATCTCGTAAAATCGTCATTTTTTCTTGTTTTTTTCTATGATGAAGTTATTATGATAGATGGCTCATAAAGATCTGTCGACTTTGTTCTTGAAATAAGATTTTCGTGGCGTGTAAAAATCAAAAGGATCGATAATATCTCATCCATTGAACTGCAACCACAAGGGAATAAAACAATTATAAAACATATCTTCAAATAACAGTCCTGCCACAATTTGGGTGTGGGTATAGATAGGTCTCTAAGATGAAAAATCTTTAATCGGTTTACTTCGGAGTACATCCATCATAATGAATTCTTTTCACCAAGTTTTTCTTGATTACAGTCGACATCAATCAGGATTACCAATGAGTTTTGACTTCTTATGTTCATCTTAACTGTGATAGTTGCCTGAAGATTATGCATCAATTACAAGCATATAATTTTGATCGATTTTAACCTGCGTTTTCTTCTATTTATTTTACTCAAAGAGTTTTGATTAATGCTGCCAATTGTATTCCTAATGACTATAACCAAACTGTTATTAATTATAATGCAAGACCAGAAATATGACTGAAAGTTAAAGCTTTGATTAAAAGTTTCAACAATACTATCACTCAACCGAGTAACTCTATTGTGAAACTTTCAAAGTCGTATAGGTTTTATTCAAAATTGTGTATAATTGATAAATAAATGTCAAATAAAAATGATTGTAATCCTCATACCTAGTTCGTAACCATTGACATAGAGAAAATTCTAAATATTACATTAAAGGATACGTTGTTTCATTTTCAAGTGACGAATAACTATGAAAAAATATGACTTGGGTGTGGGTGGATGTCTTTTCCACACCCACACCCCACACCCTCAGTATGGTGAGCATTGATGACGAAAATTCCAACTTGAGAAAAGATATATTTTTTATCATTTGATAATGATTCTGTTAGGAATTATTACTTGGGAAAAGTGTCGTGTGTCTTAGTCAAATGACTTACACAATTAAGAATCTTTGAGATTTCAGTGAAATTCAATAATGTAAAACTTTGATTTGAAATAAGATTGTTGTTGAACAAGTGTAGCATGTAACAATCCTAAAGGGTTATAAATATAGTCAATCTTGAAAATGTGGTTGATTGTTCACATAGATCGTAGTACAAAAAAGAATGGCATCTCTCCCCCTAAAACTTTTCTTGTTTACTGATTTTCTGAAAACTCCAGAATCATATTAATTCAATGCTCGTTAATTCCTTTTCTTTCACCTATAGGGAACTGCAAGAACTGGTTCTAATACAAAAACAATACTCAGAAATTTCTTCTCTCTTTTTAAGGCTAATATAATAAATAAAAAAACACAAAACCTATCTATCAGAAGAGAATCCCTTGTACATTCTCTCTCTCTCTCTCTCTCTCTAAAAATAACGAGTTTTGGATGAAGAATCTTTGAAAAGTTATGCTTGTTTTCTGAAGAAATAGAATGCTACTTTTTTAATTGAGAAAATTCTGAAAAAAAATAACGGTGGAAACTCATTATTAAAAAGCTACTCTTTTTGTTGTTTCTTGACTAATGATACACTTTCAATGCTCACAAAATATCACTGAGTTAGAATGAGAAAATAAATGTGTGAAAAATAAGAGTTTTCATTCTGTATTTCACCAAATGAGAAAAAAGTTTGAAAAAAAAGCCCATACACTTCCATAAAATAAAGTTTATCTCTATAGTATGAGATTCATCAAGCAATCATCAAAAAGACCTATGTTTGGGAACGCATAAATTGTGAATAGTTGGATTGATTAACGAATAGCATGGAATTGAAATTCTGAATATCCTACAATTGTCTGTCTGACTCATAGTTGAAATACCCTTTCACAATACAAAAGTTAAATGAGATTTTTTTCATTTCTTTATTCTTACGAGGCAATAGATATGCGTGAAGTTGCGGATCTTTCTTCATCAAGACAGACATTAGCACTTACACCATAGATGAAACCGTATCGGCCGATATCTATCAGTTACCGATTCGATCCGACTAAGCTCTTACAATCGGTTGTCCTGCAGCCTTTTATTATTCATTTGTTTAAACTCTTAACTCAACTTCTCTCACTAACTTTCAATAGTTTTTGTGATTTTAATGATCAAGAGATATGAATCTGAAAGTTTCCAACCGACAACTTTCTAGTCATAGACAAAGTCTCAGCTCTACGTATTGAGATAATTCTTTGTGATTATAATATGAGAGCTCGTACACTATGTTAATTCGATTTATTATGTTCACGAAAATTTCATCAGGTATTAGAAGTTGACTTCTTTCTACACTAACCACTGTTTTTGGACTATTTTTAAACGATTCTCATTATATTTCAATAGAAGATGATTTTCACTCTACACTTGCACTCACGCCCATATACTTGTTACATCCCTAATTGAATGGGTCTGAACCAAGAAAATTGAGATGCCAAATCACTTATTTTCACCTGTTTTTGGTCAATATCTCGCTTCAAACACATAATGTTGAGCAAAAATTTTTATCATAGCTTTTCCGCTTCAGACTCAATATATCCTCCAATTTTTAGACCATTTGGACGTTTCTGAGCTAAGATCGATTTCTGAGAGAGGACAGTGGTTTAATTAACTACCACTGCACTGAGGATAGATATCAATATTATTACATCAAATGTACTTTGGCTGATCGAACAAATAAAACCTTAATTAACTCATATGGAAAGGATTAAGATTTGTATAAACAATAATGAATAACTATCCTCAACATTTGAGAGAATAAAACTAAAAAAATTCTCTTTGATTTTATGTTTTATTTATTGTTATCAGAACTTTTGGGCAACTCTACATATTCAGATAAATCAATCATATTTATATTTAAGCATTCAAATTGAAATTTGATCATTGATAGAATATCTTTTCATGTATATATATATATATATATAAATATAAAGTTTTCGTTGACAATTCTAAACAATTTAGATAACCTTAACTTTATGATAGCAGATTATGATATCTTTGATTAATGAAAAATAATTTCCATAGGCAAATGATCTAACCATGTTTTTCATTCGATGATGATCATTCGTAATTTGTCTTGTGAAAAATCAGATCTGGTTCCATTGAAACAATGATAAGAAAGTTAATATTTTTATTCTTCTATAACCATTTGAGACATAACGACTAGAGATGCATTTCAGGAATGTGTGAATATTACTTTTACCGTCTCTAGTATCTGTTTTTTGTTCGAATACATGTTCTTCGGTGTCAGAGATTTGACATGAAACGAACTGAAATTGTTCGACCACGACTATTCTTTATTGTGAAATAAATAAATAGTTCATCTTTATTAAAGATACGAATATTGGTCTCATTATTTTATTGTGATGATGGTGCGCTTTTTGAAGATAAATGTGTAGATTAGAAAAGAATAAAAAATATCAAAGATGTAAACACAGATAAATTTATTACATTTTCTACTACCAGCAACAAAGGTGTATGAAAAAATGAATGTAAGACAAGATGCTTTGCATTATTTTGTTAAATGTAAAGCAGTATTGAATTATTTAGACGACATATTTTTGGCTCTCAAGCCATATATTATTTTTGATTGTTGTGATTACGACTTCCGTAAATGTTGAACTTCAAACTCAACAAGGAATCATATATGGTCGACAAACTCAAAGTTCAATCGAATATCTAGGGTACCATGACATTACTCAGTTCAATAACTTTATTTTGTGATTATTTCTTAGAATTCAATATGCAAAAGTCGTCAGATGGAAACCACCAATTGATCTTGCCGACGAAATCTTTCCAAATGCTTCATATCAAGCTACCTCATTTGGTCCATGTTGCCCACAACCAAAAACTGATACCTACATTCCAGAACAAGATGAGCAATGTCTCTATCTAAATATCTACAAACCAATTGTTCAATCGATTGATTCATTATTACCAGTATTCGTTTGGATTCATGGTGGTGCTCATAAAATAGGATGCTCATCACAAAGTATTCCATTGATATATAATGGTACTAATATGATTGCTCATTCACCACCAGATCAACCTGTTATTATCATTACAATCAATTATCGATTGGGTGTATTAGCAGATATGTTTTTAAAAGAATTAATTGAAGAAGATCCAGAATGGCCTACAGCGGGTAATTATATGTATTTAGATATGTTATCTGCTTTACGTTGGATAAATAAGAATATTCGTGATTATGGAGGTGATCCAAGTAATGTATCGTTGTTTGGTCAAAGTGCTGGAGGATTATCTGTTATTGATCTTGGTGCAGTTAAAGGATCAGCGGGTCTTTATCGAACAGTAATAAGTCAATCAGGTTTAGACTCACCTGGAACCTATTCATCTTATTATAATATCACTGCTGCTCTCAATTGTTCTAACTCTATTGTTCATCGTTTGAATTGTACCAATGGAGATAAACAAAAAGTTCTTTCATGTATACGTAACTCTTCAAATGAAAATTTATTTCAAATCTATGGTGATCGTTATACAAGACCAATCATTGATAATTATTTCTTTCCATTGTATCCACCATTAGCAATTCAAAATGGACAATACAATAATATTAGTCTTATTATGGGTAATAATGATTATGATCTAACGGTATGTCTTGATCATCCTGATATGAATTATACTGATGCTATCGAATTAATAAGTCAATCTATAGAACATAAATGGATACCGGCAATAGTTGATTATTATCATTTAAAGAATTGCTCAGCAAATCGAACGAGTAATAACACTCGTTGTTGTAATATCGTCCTATTGATAGCAACGGATAAATTTTTTGATTGTGATATTCGTCGATTATTCAATGCCTTTTATTTAAAATATGGTCCACAATACGAACAAAATAAATTATTTTCATATCATTTAAATTGTTATCCTCAATGCCCTACTGTACCAGAAATGGGTATATGTAGACATTCAGCAGAACTTCCATTTGTGTTCGGAACTATTAGTGATTTTCATTCAGAAGAATTATTCAATTGTACTTGGGATAATTCAACACGAGCATTTTCTAATGAAATAATTTCACATTGGATTAATATAGCAACAACAGGAAGACCATTGAATCAATGGCCAAGTTATGATCCATCTTCACCTAGACATTTCCATATCACACCTGATCGAGGCTTTATAGATGAAAAATGGCATAGAAATTGTTCGTTTTATGATGAAATGGAAGTAGAAAGAGTTAAAGAAATATTTGGAAATAATCATTACATTGTGAAGGAGCCAAGTAAATAGTGTTTATTTTGATTGTTCTATTTGCCAAATAAAAAATAAACTTAATATGAAAACTAAAACTTCGGCACGATAGTAGAACAAGTTCAAAAGAAACGTATGATTTCGAACTTTTCTTTTCATGTTCATGACGCAAAATCTAATAATTCTATTGAATCTTACAAATGCGAAAGAGACTTCAGAAAAATACATTCATGGCTAAATGAAGAAACAAACACTCACAAGTGTACATCGAAACATGAATTTGTGTTCACTTCTAAATATGAACTGTAGCCAATGAAATGCGTGTCGATTGTTAGTCAACGGTTGAGTTGTCTATTATGCTATTGATTTGAACAGTATTGTCTCTTCGAATACATTTAAAACTCCATCCATATGTGAATGTGTGTGTGACTATGTTTATGTTTATTTGAGATGAAGTCGATCATACAGCGAAGACAAAAGGAGAGAGAGAGAGAGAGAAGAAGACAAAGAGAAAGAAACAAGGACACGCATATATGGAAGAGAAAAATGAACCAGATGCCTAATCCATTAACTGCACTATCGAAATACTGGAAAAGTGGTGTGCATGTATACACAAGGTGTTTCATAAATAACTTTATGATAGGAAATTGAAGTATCTCTACTTCGGCTCGCTGGAATTGGATGATTTTTTGATTAGGGGTAGAACTTTACTCAATTTTTCTTTCATAAAAAAACGTTAAAAAAAATTCTGTTTTGAGCTACAACTTTTGACGTTGAATACAAAAATTTAACCTTTTACAATATTTCAGCGACGATATTTAGAGAACACGTTCATTCTATTTGAATTTCTAATTAAGCCAGGATCTGAGTCTTCTGAAGAATAACAACACTCACACTCTAAAAGTAATTCTGTTCATCAAGTTTTTCATCGATCGAAGCAACATACATCTTAATTTCAATCAATCATAAGTACTTCATCTATTTTTATGCAGCCTTAGCTTCAGTTACTGATGTCTGAATAAACTTTATATTTTGCTGCTTTTTAATGAAATTACTGAATTTTTCTTGAAGATTGTTTTCCGTATTACCCTGAATTTGACGGATAGACTCCTGCGATGTCTGTTTTATGTATTTTTAACTTGTTGATTTTATCTTACTTCTCTCAATCTAGAATATAAACGCATTTTATCGGAGTATGACTCATGTTTCATAATTAAACAAAATACCTATTACTTATTGTTTAGTTTTTGTAATGCATATCGTCATACTTCAGTTCGTTTTGCTTAAGAAGTTGACGAAATTTCAAACAAAATATGAACCTACCCAGATTGAAGATACCCGACCGTAAACACTCAAATACGGCGAGAGTGGGTGTAGATATGGATTTTGTTCTTATCTTCCTGTACAATCACCCACACCCAAAACTCGAGATGTCTAACTAGTTTGAAAGATTTGAGAAAGTTTCAAAATAATCTTAGGATTGTTATTACTGATGCAGCTTTTGCGGTTGTTAGGAAACTACACACAATAATTCTTGAAATTTTCACTCCCCTTCTCTTTTGGCATAAAACCATATTCAATAATCTTTGACTTTATATCTCTGCTGGTTATAAGATCCTAAGAACAGAAGCGAGCCGCAAAACTTTGATTTAAGCCTGCACTCACTATATTGACTATAGAAATATATGTGAATTCAATCAAATAGACAGCATTAAGTTGGGAGTAAACCAATTCAGATTATCGTACTTTTTTCTTGTGAATTCTGATCATTTGGTTTTGTCACATAAAGCACTGCCACAATAACGACTGACGTCATGATCACAATATATGTTACAAAGTATAAGATGAGCTGCACTGAGATGCACATTGGTGATCAAAACCTTAACTGTTGCAATGAGTTTATGTTACTTTTTATTAAAAATAAAATTTTTACGAATCATTATCTGTCAATAGTGTCGCATATTGGTATCAAATTGCTTGTAGGATTAGCAACTTGTGAAATTTTAACCAAGTCGAATAATCTAGAACTTTGTTTTTGGGCAAGAATGTTGTCGAGCAAATGTACTGTGTGATAATCTAAAAGAAGTCAAGACTTTTTCCATTCATTGATCTACTGAATAATCTCCGATCATATAAATGTAATGTGCATTAATTATTTGATTATCAATGTAGGACTGTAAGAACTAATTCCAACAGGCAAAGCAAGCTATACTTAGATGATACGAATTTTCTTATTTGATTTTTTTTTTGAATGAGACTTTAATGCTGGACTGTATACTCACTTGTTGTCAAAAATAATAGGATATATATTAATATCCAGAAATTCCTTTCCTACTTTTGTCTTTATCATAATAAATAAAGAAATACAAAACCTATTAAACAGAAGAAAATGTCTTGTGCATTTGCTCTTTTTTAAAGTAACGAGTCTTAGATGAGAAATCTTTGAAAAGTTATGCTTGCATTCTCAATAATTAAGATGCTATTCCCTGAAACAGACAAATTTGAAAAAAAAAGTGAAACAATAAAAAATGAGTATTACTGCCAATTCATAATTAAATAACTGCGCGTTATGTTGTTGCATGAATAACGATACACTTTCAATACTCACATAGTATTATTGATTAGAATAAGAAAATAGGATGTGTGAAAAAAGAAAAGTTCTCATTTTTGATTTCATCAAATGCAAATAAGTTTGAAAACTAAAGTCCATATGGTTCTCTGTTTACATAGGATAAATAGTTTCTTTCAATTAACGAATAACATGAAATTGAGATTTTGAATCCCTACAATTGTCTGTCTGACTCATATTTGACATAGCCTTTCATAATAGAAAAGTTAAATGAGATTTTTTTGTTATCTCTCAATTCTGACGAGTATTTATGTCATTTGTTCAAAGTCAAGAAATAAAATATCATCTTATCACTGTTTTTAATTAATTCTATGAATAATAATTCGATAACTATTCAACTAGTTGAAAGCTTTATGAAAGATGATTATTCCTTTGACAATCATTGCTTGTGTTGCTTAAAACATTTGCAATAGCACGATAGTCGGTCGGAAATGAGTATTTTGATAAAGAATGTGACTGAGTATACTTTTTCATCACATGGTCACAGTTTTTAGTTGCCCTTCACTTGATCTTAGTTCTCTTCATTTTTATCCCATCTATTCAAAAACGTTTGTTGGATAAGAACATATTGCACTGCATCAATTAAAGGGTTTCTTCAAGGTAATTCAATTTTGTTCAACTGCATCGGTTTGGTGATTTATAACTGATAAGATAGAACAAAATTGAAAAGCTCCGATGTTTTACGTATTTGAAGTTTCTTTATTGGCTTTAGTCACTGATCTATCACGTTTTAAATCATGATGAATGCAATATATTTTGAAGCGATTTAAACGATTTGAAAACCTTACTTTCACATGATATATATTGACTTATATCGATTTGAGAGAATTTAAGATCTTTTCTTTTTTAGAAAGACGATTTTGTTCACATCTAATATCTGTCATCTATGACGAATTAGTTTCAGAGTTTTTCGAAATCAGTTTACAGAGGAAAACATCTTGAATTAAACTGTTGAAGTTTATTTTGCGTTTTTTGCACAATACGGTTTTTGATTTTGCAGTTTTCGGAAATCTTAGATTTCTCAACAATTTTAATCACTAAAAACCTAAACTTAGTGCTAAAACAAAGATCAATATCAGTTCTACAACTTAACAAAAACGAACTTTTCGAATTATCCCTTAATGTTTACTAGAATCTAACTGTTCTAAATTTGCATTTTACTCATCTTGTATGTGATCAAAGGAGACTTCAAGAAAATGGATATTCGATGTAAGTGTCGATGTAAATATCATGTTTCTCTCCACTCACACATGCCTGATTTTCATAAGTTTTGAAATCATAGAACTTAAAAAATTAGAACTTCCTTCATAGAACTCAAGAATTTGTCAAAATGTAGGTAATAGCATTTCAAAACAGAACTCATATTATCATGTAATGACAAATACAGTACGATCTGTTCAGGTTTTTGTAGTGTAAAATACGAAATGTTTTATGCTTTTCGTATGACAAAAATAACTTGTCAATTGAATGAAACGTTTGTAATTCAAATTATTTCACATAGTTTACGTTCAGAGTAAGTAAGGAATAGCTCTAAGATAATCAGCGTTTCTATGAATTCTCTCTGAACCTATCTCTAGTTTATGATACTAATACATGAAAACCTAATAAATCAGTGATGAGCCTTGTTGAAGAACAATATCACTTCTAAGCTATAAATTAGTAGTTGATTGTATCTTACTCGTTTAAAAGTTCTTTTTTGTTTGACTATCATTTGTTTTTTGGTTCTATCTGAAATTCTGAATTAACTCTTCGTCATTTTTTAAACTAATACATAAGAAATAGATGCATTAAATAATAATTCTACTGAAGTTTCATCTAGTTAACTAAGAATAGTTGATATCTCTCGATATATTTTTTTTATAAACTCTATGACGAAATTTACAACTCACTAATATGCATCATTATACGTTTGAAGAAAATTATGAAACACAAAAAGGTAGCAAATGAGTAAGAGGAGTAAAGAAAATTGATATTGCGCAAAAACAGAACAAAATTAATAACGTGTAAAAAATCAGTCACTTCCTTTCAATCATACACACGCTATACAGTGGATCGGTGCACATATTTAAACATCATTACTCGTTCTACCAGTCCATTAATAACAGATAAGTGAAATCACATGAAGACACGATAGTAATCGTCTCTTTCTTTTTCGCTAACTCATTTTCACGTGAACATCAACCAATGTTGTTTTTTTTTGTTCATGATTCGAATGCTCTATCATCTAATTACATAGATAAATCTTATTGGGTTCTATTTTGAAAAATGATGCTAATTTTTATAAGTATTTAAGATTTTTTTTTTTTTGAAATATTATGACTCTCACACAAATGTTAGAAGTAATTATTTAAAATGTTCGAGTCTCTGCTAATCGTATTCCGAAATGTGTCCTTTATAATATTTATTTCTCAAATATAAATTCATAGACAAAATTACTTCCTAATGTCTTCTTAAATATGTCATCATTCATATGATATTACGTTTTTCGAGAATTAATTAGGCATTTTTTATAGGGCTTTTAAAATATCTAAATATTTTTCTAATAAGTGACGTTATCATGATGACGAAGTATTTAAAAGAATGACTAACACTGTTCTTTTTTTTCTTGCAATATGTTATACCAAAAAGAATCTAGCTCGATTTATTTTCCTATTAGAATCGCTATTTGACATTTCAATTGAAAAACTAATTTCATATTGTCACCATGTATTGTAACACGTCCGATTATCTAGCAAAACTCATCAGAAACAATGAACAAAGTTAACAACAAAGAGGACATTACTTTAATTTGGTTTGATACTCATATGGAATACAATAATCATGCAGAACAAACAAAGAAACAATTACATGAAATCGTTGATTATGTTGTATTCTACACTGAACTCGAATCTTGTATTAGCTTCATTGAATCAATACATAATGAAAAACTTATTTTTGTCATTTCAATATATGATGCATCACGAATATTACCTTATGTTGCAACTCTAACTCAACTTGACAGTATCTTTGTCTGCAATTGGGAAAAAACCAATAATGAACATTTGATTTGTGAACATTCAAAAATGATTGCTATGTATAATGAACTCAAGTTATTGTGTTTATCAATCCGAGAGCAAGTTGATTTTCTTGATCGACATTTACAAATATTTGACTTCTTTGATCAAGATGAACTTTTAACGAGAGATCTATCAAAACAGGCTTCTGATCTTCTTTGGTTTCAACTTTATCATGATGTTGTCTTTCAGTTAACACATGATGAAGAAGCTAAAAAAGAAATGATCGATGCATGCCGTTCTTATTATCAAGATAATATCAAAGAATTAGAAGTGATTGAGAAATTTAAAAATGAATATCGATCACACGACGCTCTTCAATGACATCTTAAAAAGTCCTTTCTCTACAAAATGATTAAAAAAGCATTAAGAACAAAAGACTTCGATCAACTGTACATATTTTGATATTTTATGAAAGATCTAGCAGAAATTTTTGTTCGTGAACATGAAAAGATGATGCAAACTAACACAGAAATATTATTCATGTATCAAGAAATAAAAATGACAAGTGATCAAATCGAAAAATTTAAAGAGAACGAAGGTAAACTTGTTCCAATGAATGGATTTTTGACAACAACTACTCTTCGTTCAACTGCATTGAAGCAAGCAATGAAACCTTTGAAACAAACTGATCTGATCCCTGTTCTCCTAGAACTTTAATTCAATCTACAACATCTCGGCAACCGTGTCATTGTTGCTGAAACTTCTCAATACAATGAAATTTCATGTGAAGAACAGGAGGATATTATCTGCAATTCAAATGTCACTTTTCGATTGGAAAGTGTCATAATGAAGGAACAAATGCATTTGATTAAAATGAGTGCATCAAATGAAGATCTTGCAAAGATTGAACGTAGTCTGGATGAAGTTCTTCAATGGAAAGAAGCACGGAAATATTATGATCGTGCTTATAATCGAATAATGAATATAAAATCAATAAGGATTAAGGATTTAGCTTATATACTCTTCGATATTGGCGAGATACTCCATCTGCAAGGGAGATGTGAGGAAGCTCGTGAATATTTTGAATGAACATTTGTCATGAGAAAGGAATATTATTCTTCTACTAAGATTGATAGATCTCATCTACCGAATCACCAACGCGGTAATATACTGAGTCGAATTCGTGCGTCTTTCCGATCTATTCTATTGAATTCATGTGGGCTATTTCAACCACGTTCTCGAACGCTTGAAACAAGAAAATTACGAAAAACTTTTCATTGTTTTCGTTCGAAAAATACGAGAAATAGTATGAAGTCTGTTGACAAACAATTGAGCAAAATTCAGTTACAAGAAATATGTCAAAATGTACAAGAAACCAGTTGGTTACAACTGAACGAGATTCACGTTAATGGTTAT